TGAACATTGTGAAAATGTCAGTTCTACCCAAAGCAATCTATACATTCAATGCAATCCCAATCCAGATCCCATCAACATTCTTTAGGAATATGAAAAAACCAATCATTAACTTTATATGGGATAGAAAGAGACCTCAGATAAGCAAAGCACTATTGAAGAAGAAGAACGTAGGTGATCTCACACTACCAGATCTCCAAACCTACTATACAGCCACAGTAGTCAAAACTGCCATGACAAGAGCAGACATATGTACACCCATGCTCTTCATGGCACTATTTACAATAGCTAAAAGATGGAAACAACCTAGATGTCCATCAAATCCAAACTATGGTAGATACACACAATGGAATACTATGCAACCCTAAAGAATAATGTAGAATCTGCAAAACACCGCATAACATGGATGAACTTGAAGGACATTATGCTGAGTAAAGTAAGTTAATCACAAAAGGACAAATATTGTATTAGTCCGTTGTTGTAAAAGTCAAGGAAACATTTATCTATAGAAGGTTATTTTCTTTGTTGCTTACCAGGAGTGGTAGGTGAGGGGAGGGAATACTGTTAGATAGATAGAGGTAAGTTTTGATTTGGATGAAGAGAAGGGCAATGTACCAAATGTGAGTGATCAATATAGTGGCATTGAGAATGAGAAAGAGAGAGGTACATGGGAAGTACAGACAACAAAGATGAACCCTTTTGTACATATAGTCTGGTGTGGTCAGTGAAGGCAAACACGGGTATATGGGTGGACAGGCTGAACTATTAGGTAAGTCTATGAAGTGAGGAGTGTACCAAAGAACATGTATAGGGTTGGCAGACAATGGTCCTATAACTATGTATGATCTGAATTCCCAGGTGTATAGTGGAGCTTATAAGGGGCAAGGTTGTAGTCACTGCTTCGTCATAGCCAGCTTCCCAGAGGGACTGAGTAGTTGAACCTGTGGGCTCGGGACCATAGTCGCAGAGGCCATCAAGCTCAATTGGCACAACATACTACACAAACATTGTTTCACCTTCTACTGTGGCGGGTAGCGACTGAGATCTTAAAAGCTTGCAAGCTGCCATCTAGATGCAACGATGGGTCTCTCCTCATCCAGAGCCAAGAAGAATGAAGAAAACCAAAAATTCATGGAAACAATTAGTCCTAGTGACTGATACCCCATCCAATCTGCAGCCTATACGACTATGAGACTAGAAGAACTAGATGGTGCCCGGCTACTGCTGTCAACCAGTTGGAAGAGGATCTATGTAGGAGATCCTGGATAGACAGGGAGAGCAATGTGGACAAAACTCAGAATCATTTGGAAAAGAAAAAAAGGGGGGGTGGGACCAGGTTTCCTGGCCCGATAGAGCCTGTTGGAACTACTGAGACTGTGGCCTCTAGCTGCCCTTCAGGTCTGGCATTGAACTCACACCTGTGGCTGCTAGCCAAACAATAGATAGGCATATGAATTGAACACTTACCTGAGGTAGATACACTACTTGGAGAGAACAAGCATGAGAGAAAGAAGGGCTGCTTATGCACAGGGAGACAGCTCAGGGGCAGGAGTGCATGGAGGGATGGACACAGGAAGAGGTAACTGTCAGGAGGAAGTAGGAGAGGAGATGTTGCATTGTGGTAACTTGTGGTCAATGTCATGAGACAAAGTGTATGTGAACTGCTGTATGGAAAGTGTATTTGCTCTGTAAGTTTTCACCCAAATCACAATTAAAAGGAAAAAAAAAAAAAGATGGACCCTGATAGAATGGGAGAAAAATGTGGAACTGAATCTCATAATTATTAGAAGAACAACCACACTTACTGAACTGATTGAAACTGGAAGTCTCTGAGACTATTGCCCTGAGATACTCTGTAAACCTTGAATTGAAATTTATCCCTGTGGTTACCTTTTATCTAAATAACGTATTTGCTCACAAAATAAACAGTATTACCTCTGAGTAGTGTGTTTCTTTAAGAAAATCATCTATATGAGACGAAAAGGTCAACAATTATTTTCAAAAAAGATGATAATATAAGGGGGCAGGGAAACTAGACTAATGGAAATGAGACAACCAGAACAGAAATAGCGAGAATGTTCATGCTTTGTGAAGAATGTAACCAATGTTACTGAGCAGTTTGTGTAGTAATTGTTGAATGGGAATCTAATCTGCTGGGTAAACCTTCACCAAAAACTCAATAAAATATTTGAAAAAAGAAAAATTACAGAATTTGGGGCTTTTATGAACATAATTATATTGATGCGTTTTGACTTTTTCTAAGGAAAACATGATGCCTATAATTCCTTTTATTTTTATTTCTATTCCTGTAATAAAAGGAACTTTAAAAAAGTATAACAGGGTTCAGAAATCTTTTTTGGAATGCATTAAAATAATCAACACATCTTCTATAATTGGTTTCTTAAATGTAAACATCCAAACCAAAAACCAAACAACTGCCATCGAGTTGACCAACTCACAGCAACCTCCCTTGGGTTTCCAAGTCTGTAAATCTTTACAGAAGCAGACTGCCTCATCTTCCTTCCACATAGTGGCTAGTGGGTTTGAACCACCATCAGATCTCCTTAAATATAAATATATTTAACTTTTTTTTTTTTTTCTCTCTCTCTCTTTTGATTGGCATAGGATCTTGGCCTCACTACCATTTGGGAAGACCAGCTTTCCTATCTTTTATCACCTGCTTTGGCTTCCTATGAATTTGAACGTACGACAAGCATATCTGCAGGCAATGAAGAATTTCAGGATGCCATAAGGAGGGCTGTACCTGATGGTCACACGTTTAAAGGGTTCCCAATACATTTTGTGTATAGAAATGCAAGGCGTGCGTTTGCCACATGTCTTCGGTAAGGTGTAGTTTATGGAATTATAAATATTTTGGCTTAGAACTCTTAGTGATTAGTTAGTCCAATTCAAGAATGATGGAGCCATATGGGGAGCTTTCATAAAATATACTTGACTGAACCTACTTGCTGCAAATATTGGTGGTTTAGGTCTGAATGCAGTCCCCAGTATATGTATATCTTGATGTATTTCTCAATGATTTCAGTGCAGTCTCAGTTGAGAATCTCTGATCTTCTCTGATGCACTTTTTTAAATTTACAGATTATGAGGAGATAACCTACAATTTGAATAGCTTGGCTGAGATTACAGAGCAGTTGGTTGCAGAGACAGGATTTTTAAAATCTATTTTACATACTGATTTAGTGGTACTTCGGAAGAAAGGCTTGGTGATCTACTTCTGAAAAATCTGCCATTGAAAACCCTACAGAGTGCTTGTTCTGTGACACCTGTGGTCTTCATGAGTCAGAATTGTCTTGACAACAATGAGTTTGGAGTGTTTTTTTTGTTTTGTTTTGTTTTTTTCCACTTGGGAATAAAAAAGTAAAGGCTATTCACTTCTTAATTGAATAAATTTTCTTCCTTGCATAGGTCTCCTTTCTGTGAAGAGATAATCTGTTGCCGTGGAGACCAGGTGCGACTAGCAGTTCGTGTTCGAGTGTTTACGTACCCTGAATCTGCATGTGCTGTTTGGATCATGTTTGCTTGTAAATATCGCTCAGTATTATAGGACTAACATTTCTATAAGAATTATAACTATTTTATTGCAATTTTACACATTGTACATTACTAGCTATTTTTTATAGCTATTTAGAGATTCTTTATTTTAAAATCACAATCTGTCTTAGATGTCTTATTTCAGTTTTGTATGTACTTGACTGATAATGTTTCCAAAAATAATGATGTGTATTTAAAAATTAAGAGTGAAAAACTTGTGTAAATATGATTAGAATTTAGTATAAATTAAGTGCATATTCTATTTTAATATTATTTTGTTTATATATACTCAGTAGTTTACATATAAATACAAGATTTATTCAGTTTTCTTTATGTTAATAAGTAATCAGAAAGCTAAATGTTTCTCTAAGGATTTGAGCCATAGTAAAACCAATATGATCATTAATTTTCATAGATTAATAGGATTATTTTATACAGATCGAGAGAATTTAACCACACAACAGATTTATTTATTACATAGGTGAAAATACATCCTGATGGATTACCACATTTACAGTTTGCTCTTGCCTTTAGTCATATTACTGACTTTTCAGAAATTTATGGTAAGATCTTGAAATAAGATGAGGAAAAACTAATGCCAGAAAAGTATAAACATTAATAACAAAAGTAACCTCACGTGAAAGTATATGAATGTATCAATATTTATTAGTTCTATTCATTATAAAAACAAATTGAGGGTTGTTTTTTTTTGTTTGTTTGTTTTTTAATTGTTGTACTCCTCTGTTACGGCACTGGCAAATTGTGTCCTATATTTCATATTGGTTATCTGTCACTGATTTTTTGTGGTCGGAGGATTCTTTTCCAGTTCCTTCTTGGATTCCATCTTCTGAAACCACTTTTTTCTCTCTTTTTTCCCATTGTGGTGATAAAAACATCAGACTATATGTAACCAAGTCAGAATCATTGTGTGAAGCCACTGAGAACAAGCAGATGCCACTTCATGCTATTTGTTTTAAAATGAGCAAATTTTTCGTTAGTTCTAAAAGTGAACAAAAATAAGCACTACAAAGACTATAGCAATTTAACTTTTTGTAAGAAGCTGCATGATATAAATGATGGGTTTCACTATCCATTTAGCACCTTGTGCATGGTTCTTAATTGGGTTGCTATATCCATCAGTCTTCTTAAATTAACCATACATAAGTTGGCTACGCAAGTTATTAATCCTTTCATCACTTTAATTAACCATTGCGAACAAAATAATGTTAGTGGAAAATGAAAATCTAAAAGCATCTTATGTATACTTTTTGTTTTGTGATATTTATGATTTAGCTTGTTTAAAAAGTTTGAAAACATTACTATTCCTTTTCTACCGATTCTTCATAGAAAATGATAATCAGACCTTATGAGATTGACTTAAGAGAATTGGCAAAATAAGAATTAAGACATTTCTATTATATTGCCAAAATTAACATCAACAGAGAGAAATTGCTTGTATCTTCTAACTTTTGGGACAAACTAAGAGGCATATGTGAAAAGGCAGACTATATTATGATCAAGGCTGTATTAAGGTTGGACTTCCTACCTTACTGTACTAGAGTAACACACAGATTTCAAATGTTCTTTTGGTATAAATTCTAAAATAAAATCGCTTTTTATACACTGGCATGAATTATTTTCTCTGGAAATTGCTTATTTCAACAGATTATGCTGTGTTTATCACTAGAATTCTGGCTACTCTTCCTACTACTAATTTTTTTTTTAAGTTAAATTTACCTTTTATATTTAAGGAGCTCTAGTGGTACAGTGGTTAAAGAATTTAGCTGCAAACCAAAATGGTGGTTCAAATCCACCAGCCACTTACTGGAAGAAATATGAGGCGGTGTGCCTCCCTGAAGATTTATAACTTTGGAAATTCTACTCTGTTCTATAGGAGTACTATTAGTCAGAATGGACTCCAAGGCAGTAGGTTTAGTGGGTTTTCATATTTAGCTATCATAAAAGTTATTTTTTAAATTAAAAACAAAATGTTTTTCTAATGTCTGTAATGCATTCTGTATTAAAAAAAAATTTATTGTGTTTGGGTGAAAGTTTATAGAGCAAATTGATGTATCATACAGCAGTTCATGCACATTTTGTTTTATGTCATTGACTGCAGTTCCCCACAATGTAACAGCTCTTTGTAATGTGTTCTTTTTGACAGTGTATGTACTAACATAGTCCTTCTCTCTCCATATGCATATGTATTTATATTATAGTCATTTTTATGTAGTATATCAGAAACCTAGAAACTTGATTTTTTTATTATTCAAGCATGAATTTGTTGAATAAAACTTACTAATTCATTTCCAACTAATTGAACACCTAATTGCCTTTTAAATGTTTTCTAATATTGAGGTATACATTTTTAGCTATGATCTGTAAAAACATATCTATAACCTGGCAGCTCTGGAAAGTACATACATTTTTAAGCTCCCCTTTTTAAAAAAAAAAAAAAAAAAAAAAACTTCATAACAAAGACAAGATTTAAGGCCAATGAAGTGTGGGTTTTTTATTTGAGAAGAGCCTTGCTCATAAAGTAGTATTCTGTGCCAGATAACTGATCATCAGAAGGTATTAGTAATGAACCATGAATTGGTTGAAATAATTCATTCATACTCTTGATTTCATGTTCTATACTAAATAAGAAAATGGCTTAAGTTAGACTACAGTTTTCAGTTTAATCATTTTTCTTTAACTCTTAGATAATAAATACTTAAGTACAGGAATTAGATGATATACCAGTGAAAAACCAGTTGTTGTGTGTTTTGTTTCTCTTGTGCCGCTCTAACAGAAAACACCACAAATGGGTGATTTTAAACAAACAGGAGTTTATTCTCTCACAGTTTGGGAGGCTAGATGTCCGAGTTCAAAGTGCCAGCTGTAGGGGCTGGGTGAGAGCCCCCTGACCTTGGGCTTCAGCTCTGCCTTTCATTAAGTAACAGCGAAATATAAAAACCCACCAAACCCCCTGCCTCTTGCTCCCAGCCCACTGAAGCTGGAGATATGCTTAACTCAGATAGCTGCTGGCTGCTGAGGCTTACAAACACAAGGTCATCAAGTAAAATAACACAGTCCCGATTATTTAGCATTACAACAGGCCACTAATTAAAGTCCATTAACAGTCCCAAGATGGCAGGCCATTGAGATGAAGTCTTGGCTAAATGCAGGTTCTAAGCAAGCCAAAAAAGCTGTATTCTTAAGTCTTAGAAGCATATCACATCCCGAAGGCAGCTACTCAGCTGCTCCCGTAGATTCCACCATGGAGCTGATTACCAGTCTCATCATGGGGAATAACTACATCCAGCTGCCCAGCCACTCAAAGCCAGATCCAGCCAAGTTGACACACAACTTAACTACCACACTGTGAGATTGATTCTGATTCTTGGTAACCCAGTGTGTATCTGATTATAGTTGCGCTCCATAGGATTTTCAATGGCTAATTTTTTGGAAGTAGATCTCAAGGGTGGACCCAAGCCACCAGCCTTTCAGTTAGCAGTCAAGTGTGTTAACCATTTGTATCGAAATAGCATTGAGATTGGCAAAGGCTATATAAAAATCTTAAAAGTAGATAAACACATAAAGTAGAAGCCATTCAGTTTTGAAGTATCTTAACATGATGTGTATAGCATACTCTGTATTTAAAGCAGAAGTTTAGTTATGAGCATTAATGTATTTAAACATGAGTGTTGAACGTTTAATATTTTCTTTTGAGAGTTAGTTGGCATAGTCATTGTGATTAATTTTGACTTATATTTGGTTTGTAAATTAACTACTTGATAGTAATGTTGAAATTGTTGTTGTTGTTGTTATGTGCCGTCGAGTCAGCCCTGACTCATAGTGACCCTTCCTTGGGTTTCCGAGGCAGTATCACTACGGAAGTAGGATTGCCCAACCTTCCTTCCGAGGAGTGGCTGGTGGATTTGAACCTCCAGCCTTCTGGTTAGCAGTCAAGTGCCTTAGCCACTATGCTACCAGAGCTCCCAATGTTGAAATAGGCATGTTAAAAAGAAAGAGGAAGTTGTTAGCTGGCATTCCTAGAAAGATTTTCTCTGACTCCTCTAAATTTTGACCTGTCTGATATTCTAAAACTTTTTTTTTTTTTTTTTAGTGTTTTTGAAGTTACCTATTTTTTTTTCCTCCCTTTTCCTTTTTGGCATCTGATAGCGCTAGAGTCTTTATCTTAAATTTATGCTATTTTTAGATGTAATTTTGTATTTCATGGCCTGGAATTATAGAATTTTGGACTTGAAAGGAATCTTAGGGCTTTCAAACCACTTAATTTACAGATTAATGAGATGGAGATCCAGAGAAGTTAAATTCCTTTCCTAAGGATACATATCTGTAGTGGCAGATCAGTTCTAGAACTCAAGCTCTGGCTTTAAGTTTTCTTCTTTTTGCTATATCTCAGGATGGACAAGTTAAGTTTTTCTCTGCAGGAATGGCATTATTGGGTATGACTAAGTAACCATCCAACAGATAATGTAGAAAATTTTTATAATGCCATGAGCTACTATTTCTTATGTTAAAAAAAAAAGAAAAAAAATGTTGCTCACTCTTCTGGCCACCATACCAATGTTCTCTTTCTTGTCTTAGTGGTTCTTAGTGTTTCTCATTCCTTAGAGGTAGGAATATGGAAGGCATGTGTCTCTTACAGTACCTATCACATAACCTATCCAAAATTACAGTAATATATAGGGTTTTGAGGAGCTCTGGTGGCGTAGTGGATAAGACATTTGGCTGCTAACCAGAAGGTCAGTGGTTCAAACCCACCAGCTACTCCATGGAAGAAAGATGAGGCAATCTACTTCTGTAAAGATTTACAGCCTTGGAAACCCAATGGGAGTCACTATGAGCGGGAATCAACTTGATAGCAGTGAGTTTTGTGTTTGATAGGGCATCAAGTTGCTGACGGGGGGTCAGGATTACATTTTGGGGAGTATGCCTGGAAGAGCTTAGGCAATGAGTTGTTGTTGTTGTTGTTATGTGCCGTCGAGTCGGCCCCGACTCATAGCGACCCCTCCTTGGGTTTCCGAGGCAGTATCACTACGGAAGTAGGATTGCCCAACCTTCCTTCCGAGGAGTGGCTGGTGGGTTTGAACCGCCAGCCGTCTGGTTAGCAGGCAAGTGTCTTAGCCACTATGCTACCAGAGCTCCCTAGGCAATGAGATTAGGTAATAATAGGAAGATATGAAGAATTTTACTATTTGGTTATTTGCAAGACTGAGTGAACAACTGAGGTAATGGGATAGTAATCTGTATTCAGAAAACATTTCACTTGTATTCAATTTGTAAATTCTGAGAGAATTCTGAAATCCAGTCACAAATTAGGTGTAACTGGCCAGGTTTTATTTAACTTTCACCTAATTTCTTTGTCAAAATGTATTGTGAGGGAATAGTAGTATGATAGTACAAAACGAGACAATTGTCAGAAGTTAACAAAAACCTTACTTGATTTGATCATAAGCAAACATTTGATCATAAATTTTTAGTTTTTTAAATAGCTTTATTGAAATACAATTTGCATGCCATACAATTCACTCACTTAAAGTATACAAATCAGTAGTTTTTAGTATAGTCACAGGTTTGTGCAGCCATCCAGGAAGTTAGAACATTTTTGCAACCTCAAAAACAGTCCGTATAGGCTTCATCTGGCCCTCCCTTTCTCATTCCTAAGAAATCACTGCTAGACATT